TATATATATATATATCAGCTGAGAATTTTCGAAATACCTTTACATTGCTCTGTAGTTCCGAGAATAGGGTTATCAATTTAATTTTATAGACTTCCCCAGATTTATCTTGGCAATCATCAATTTCATAAAGACTTGTTGGGGATAACGTACTTGTGACAACAAAGATAAACAGATGTAGTTACTTATTTATTTGAAATATTAGTAGTAATTTTAAATATAATTTTTTATCAGTTTTGGAAGAAAATGTTTTTGAATTTGTTTCTCATTTGTGCATACTTATCTGCATACATCTAAAATTATAAATTATGGACATAAAAATTTAGATCGTTTCTAGATTTTTTAGGAATGAACATATTTTAAAGAAAAAACGTTATTTATGTGCTAGAAACTGATTAGGCTATTAATAAGTCTTTGTTTTATTCTAATTTTTCATGATTAAAAGTGAATTTATTAAAAAAACAAAATAAAACATAAATAGTATTAAAAATGTATTGACTTTCACTTGCATAATTTTATTATTGACAGTTTTTTGACAATATTTTTTTCTGAAACTGAAATTGACGAGTTGTATAATGCAACTATATTAAATTTGAGCTTAAAATAATATATAAAAATATTAAATAAAAAACAAATTTGTTTTTTTTTTAATTAAATTTCTATTGCAAATTATAATTATTTGTTTTAATTACTTTAAGAAATTTGAACCATTGTACATGAAACTTTATTTATAAAATGATAATAATTCATTTACTTTTGATATTTCGTTAAGTATACGAAATATCAAAATTTAAATCAATTTGAATAGTTTAATTTCTTATTTCATTCTCTTCTGATTTTTACTTGCAAATAATGTTATTTGTGTTAGTCGGTTCTTAGGTACTACTTAAGGTTTTGAAAGAAGTGAAGGAAAAATTTCAGATGATAAGATAAGGAATAACTTTGTGAAAAATATACTTTTTTATGTAACAAAAATTAAATTATACTCGAAGCAATAATAAATTGATCCTCGAATATGAAGGTTAAAGTCTTGGACTATGTATTGTAGTGAAAAACGTTATAAGTATTTTTATGTACTGAGCTATTCACATAACATTTAATTCAAAGTTGCAGAAAATTTGAAAACGTATTTAGAAAAACAATTGAATGTAGCATTTCGGATATATCTGTCCAAATATGTAAAAATATACAGTGTCAAATGTGTCAAAGTTTAATTGTTTTCTAAATACCTACAGTGTCGAAATCACAACAATGTGGTCTATCCATTTTTTTTAATACCAAAGTAAAAAATGTTATGTGAATAACCCTGAACAACCTGTCTTGGTACCAAACCTTGCTCTATCAGTTATTTAGGTACCTAGCTGTAATTGGAACTAATTGTATGATTTGAATTTAAGTGAATAAAATGAAGTACTTACATTTCTGTCGGAGACAATTTTTACTAAAACTTTTTCAAAATTCTTCGGAAATGACATAAATGTTATAAAATGTTCATAAATTTGTAAAAAATACTTAATTATTAATAATAGTACAAAATATAAATTTTATAAATAAACGACGATAGCTATAATTTTTTTCACAAAACCACCTTCTTTAAAAAAATCTTAATTTTGTTTGTTAATTTGTTATAAATGTAGTAAAAGTCATAACGTAAATTACCATTTGAAAATAAATAAATTCAAAAACGTTAATATCTACTTACCATTATCTTATGCTTCAAATATCCAAAGAGGTTCAGGAATGGCACGGAAAATTAGGCCAGCGAAAACTTTAACCACCCGCACAGTTTCAAGTGGTTCAGAGCAATGTGCTTATTGGCACAATGCATTTGCCAGGTCCCATATACACCTATATATCACAACAGATAACGTAACTTATTCAGAGAAGAACAATTTGTTTGTTTAATGGCGAATATGTGGAACGAAAAATACTACTAAATCAATAAACTCTTTACCTCTACACGGAGTGGAGCAGTTGTAATCTAGAAACTATTACAGATATCACATTATAGGTGGAGAAACTATTATTCCGTGATAAGGTCAGTTTCGAGGTTTAGACGGATATTTTTTATCTGAGATTTGGTATCGTATATACATTACGTCCATAGGTAGGTATCTAACTAGAAATCTCATCTTAAACTCCTAGAAAATAGTACCTACAACGAAAATTGTGATAGATAGAACAATTATAATACATACAATAATTCAGCCAACAGAACATTAAAAATAAAACAACATAAGAAGGAAACAATATAAACATGGTAAAATAGAGACTAAAATGATTATAAAAGCATAACAATAAAATGAATTGCATCTACACCACAGCACCTTAATCTAAATATACCGAAATCTTTAATAAAATCGTTTTTATTCTATTTCCTCTGTAGTAGCTATCTACACCGTTTATTCAGAAAAGAATGGATACTGTTTTAAGATAATGTAGGTATTTTATTACGTATATTATCAAATAACACGCCTTTTATTGAATTTTCTATAAAACAAACATTACACAATAGTTTTGTATAATTACAATAGCGATCAAAATGCGTCGTATTTCTGAATTTGCTGCAAATGGTAGCTGTTTGGATTTTATGCAACACAATACCTAGTACTAAGTATTAATAAACACCCAATTAAATTCTACTTACAGTTTTGCTTTGGAATCCGCATCTTTGCTAAATTGCAATTCCAGTTTTATTTTTAAGTATGACAGGAAAATAGATAACGTAGGTAATAATAGTAATATCATGAGGATAAAAAAATGTATTTCTACTCGTATATGCGGAAGTAAAGAATTTTCTCATGGTTTAACGATAAGAAAGTGATATTTTTTCCCTCTAATTCGAAAACGCTATTTTAATCTCTTAAGGCAAAATTGAAATATCCAATTTATGATTTCCTCAATTTAAACACTAAACGAACAAAATTTGTACAAAACTACTTCAATTTAATTTTAACGAAACATGTTTTGATCTAACCTAACAATAATAACAAAATATAGTCATAAAATTTTACTTAATAATTGTTGTTTTCTATGGACAATAATTGTATCGACAGAATAGAATATACAGGGTGTCCATGAAAAGGATGGACAACGCTTGACCACAGGTTCCTTGGATAAATATAAGACTATTTAGCCTAACTTACCTATATACAAAAGTGCACGCCTACTGAGACATAACCTTCTAAATATAGAACAGATAACCTAGTTTTTGTCAAATAATTTGAAAACTGTTCTTCTTAGAAACTTCAAATTTGGTGCACATATTTTTTTATATAAGGGCAATGTAAGTATGGAATTTGGTGAGAATATACATACAGGATGTTCTCTTTTTAATGCCTGTGCGCCACTGGCTATCCCGTAGCTGTTTTGTGTATACGCCACTGACCACAAAATTTATATTTTTAAAAATAAGCACTATTTTAGAAGACAAAATTTTGATATCGTTTATGAATTTCGAGTAAAATTTGAATTTTTTAAACATTAAATAATATAAAATCAGTTTAAGATAATTAGGTCTGTCTAGTACGAGGTGCCACATAATAAAGAAACAAATTCAGAACAGTAATTAAAAGGTTCAGTGTCAAGTTAGGTGTCATTTAATTGTAGCTTACTTTGTTTTTTAATATCTTCTTGACTATTACTGCAATTTATTCTCTTGCTGAACAAACTGTGTGTTACTAGTTTTGGGTTATTGTGAAGGAAATTGTTTTGCTAGTGTTCGAACATATGCTGAAAGAATTCCTAATCGAAGAATCACAAACCATTTGCTAATGCGGAGAGACGCCTTCGGGAAACAGAACGTTTTTTACGTGTAACATTAAATCGTGGACAACGTACAGCTAGAACTATTCATCTGGAGGAACAAATTTTGAAATGAGTCGAAGAAATTCCGCAAGTAGGTACAAGAGTCTTAAAAGACATACATTACACCTTCAATTAGTTCAAGAACTTTTGGCTACCAATACATCCTCCGTCACGTCTTGCTTTCAGTCAAAGTACTCGGGAACTCAGGAAATAGAGACGATAATATCCATAAGAAAATCCTGTTTACAGACAAAACCGCTTTTACTTTTTACTTCACATAATGAACATGTTTATTGTAATGAAAATCCACATGGAATCAGTAAAAAACGATTCCAACATGAATTTAAAATTAATGTTTGGGCTGGTATTATTGGTAGTATTTTAATTGGTCCTGTTATATTACCTGCTACATTGAACTCAGAAAATTATTTAGAATTTCTCCAAACGAGATTACCCTACCTACCTGAAGAGTTACCAATAACACTACGAATTAATATGATTTTCATGCAGGATGGGGCGGTCCTCCTCATTTTGCCTTATCTGTAAGGCAATACTTACATGAGTACTATCCTTTGGAGAGTGTTGAGGACCACAGTTTATAGCTTTTTAGTAAATACAAAAAACGAATTATGGGAAATAATACAAAATGAAAGTAGAACTTTACAATAAGCATTTATTATAGAAAATCCTACCCAAATTTTATCTGTCACCCAATTTAATAAACTTACATTGTGATATATGTTCTCTTGTAGCCGTAGTGGCCAAAAATGAAAGGAACTTTGTACTAAGACAAAAGTCGATTTTCCGAACGACCTTAGGGTCGCCCATCCAGGGTTATAAGGTTATCCATTATTTACCGAACACCCTGTATAATCACTGCCTTCGTCAGTAATAAGTTCGTCATTTACAAAATAATTTTCAGTAGGTGTTTCTTATTACATATTATTTCACATTTTGTTTCTAATACACATTGGCCGATGAAATGTAAGTAAGAGTTCAATTTTATATTTTAGTACTAAATCAAAGAACTATGACACCAAAGATTATATGACTACAAAAAGTACTTGTCTATTTATCTAAAATAACACAAAATGAGTATGTAGGTAAGTACGAGCCATTTTATTATATTATTATATAGCTTCTAGATAACAAATATATTGACAGTAGATGCTAACATATTATGAATAGCATCGCCAATTTTTATCACTCCAGCTTTTTGCATGACTTAACCTTGGCAACAAAAACGATCTTTGTTAAATATTGTCACAATGAAAGTTTATTAAATCGGGTGACAGATAAAATTTGGGTAGGGTTTGCTATAATAAATGCTTATTGTAAAGTTCTCATAAGAAAATGACGCCGGAAGTTCACTTCCTTATTAAATCTATTCTTTCTCGGAAATCAAGAGGAATGCCATATGATTTTCATTAGGAACATTTTACTAGCTATTCTGTTACTTTATTTTAGTCGAATTTACGTCGTCTGTATATTATTATACAAAAATATCATATCATATAAATTGTATTTGCGTCTAGTACTATTTAATTTATCCTCTTTCTACACATAGAAAACACACACTACAATGAAAATTTACAAAATTTTCCCTCATATCCAGACAGGAATAAATTGTACGAAAAGTCGACGTTTACATTGTGATTATTTCTCCAATTGCGAAATTATTACCAATAAATTGTGAATTTTCATGAAAGTGTGTGTGTTTGGCATTCTGTATTAACATGTAAAAGAAGTCGAATAATAAATACCATTTAATAGATATTATTAATTTTAAAATGGCTACATCTGCATGCAATGTTTTTTTTATTAATATATTTTTTATATAAACTTCCGCACTTTTATTTCCTACTGTAGAGGTGAATTTAAATAAAATCTAGAAATCTAATCTCCTTATACATACGCGAACTGCATAATCGTAGGTCCAAAATAAGAAGATAATACCTAATCAGTTTCTAAATTAAATGTTTTATTTAACAATTTTTCAATATTATTTTTACCCATTATTTTCATTTATATTTTTATATTATCATATTTGGCGGAAGGTTCAGGTACTTTAAGAACATTAAACTGTGGCAAAAGAAAGTTACTCGCCAGAGGCATAAGCCATTGGCAGTATGATTTTTTAATTTTTAAACAATTTTTACAAATAAGTTTTGCTCACCGTGGAATAATTATTATTCTTCAAACTTTTATTTTTCAAGATAAAGTTAAAAATAGATATACACTTACATTTCGACAATTTACTCATAAAATTATATTGTTTGCTTGAAATAGGTACTATAGATCATTTTTTGTTGAAGATTTAATGAGAAGAGAGATACAATATTAGGTACCAATTTAATATAAACAATACTTTCAGCGAATATTAATTTCTTGAGCCTACATTGTAAAAATGAGGGTAATATCACATAATAACTAGGTACGTATTTTTTTACTGAATTATTTAGGTATTTCGTTTTTTCCATAATATCTAGTGTAAATTAATTTTAAAATATATTTATACCTAAATCCTACCTAAGTAAACTTACATAGTAAAAATGTTATATACCATATTATATTGTACCTATAATAAAATACAAAGTATTTTTAAAAAGAATATGTAAATATACCTATGAAAAATATAAAATCAATTAAAACCTGATAAATCACATACCTATTTCATGTAAATTTCTCCCGCACATGCGTATGTATGAAGAAATGCGTCATCGGCTATTGCATTTTGTCGTGTTTTCTCGTACTGTCGTTGTAAATACATTGACCTTTTCGTGCAATTTTGTTTTTTTGTTGACTCATTAGAATTATTTCAGACTACTTCGATTTGAATTTTGAAAATTTGGGATACCGTGCTCAACTAAAATAATGGCGTCCACGTACCACTTCTGGTTATACCGGAAGTCACCATCATCTTGCTTATTTTAAACGGAACACTCTATATATTAATGCAATTTTGGATTCTACGTGTTATTTTAGAAGGACTTCTATGAAGTTTCCTTATTCCTAAAATTAACCGTTTTCGAGATATTTAATTTTTCTTCAAAAAAATGGAGAGAAACAGTGACTAACTTTTATAGTATTTTATAGTAAGAAAGATAAATCAACAATATTTATAGTGGGGACAGCTAGACCCCATACTTTCAAAGTGACTTAATTGCATACAGGGTGCTAGAAATTTACTGCCGAGTTTAGTTAATTTCAAACCTTCATAAGTCGGTTTTTTCAGATGGAACGCCCTGTATGTTTTTCTATATTCTGATACACAATTTTATTCTCTTTCGAACAGTATCAGGGTTCCATATACCTATCTCTTCTAGTTTTTAAGTTATCTAC